CGATGTTCTTCGTCTACTCTTCGTCTTGAGCTGTGTACGGAAACCTATAGGCAATTTTTGACGCCTACAGTCCTTACACTAGTAATATGTCAATAGTTACCACACAGGCTCTCTTATATATATCTGAAGAAGGCTTAATGAACGATGTATCCACGTTTCAATATCTAATCACAGAGGTTTATCTGGCCATGTCTTGGGCTCCAAGTTGTAAAGCTTTAAATGGATTTCAATAACCGTGTTTGTTCTGTTCACACTCGTTAGAGTTACTCGATATTTGTATATGGAAAATGGTAAATTCCTACATCAATATGTGAAGGCTCATGAATAACTTAATATACAATATGGTAATCTTGTAAATATATATTGAGCAAACGAATTCTAGATAGAGTTTAACTATTAGAGGAAGTTTTTGCCCATACATAGAACTACAACTACCCATGATTTAGGGTGTATATATATAAAGAAAACCCTTCTTCATTTGTGCTGTTTTGTTCATAATAAAGGGGGAAGAAATATGGGAGAAGAAATAATTTCAACAGTATCCACTACTCGTCCTTGAGTTGGAACTACTCTCACTGGTTTACAGTATTAGAGCCGGAAACTTGTTAGGAAAGTTAAGAGACAAAAATCTGTGAAGATGATCTGTTTCTTCAAACATGTGCATCAAATGCATGTATGTCAACTTTTAGATTAATGTCCGTGTCATAATTAAAGTGTAATAATCTTAAAATTAGCATTACATAGGTACATATCTTTAAGGGTAAATTTCAGAGACCTCACGTTAAGCTCTGATGTTTCTCAAATAAGCCCCTTAAACTTTAAAAAGTGCTATAAAACCTCTCGTAATTAGTTTTTCGGTTCTTAGAAAACTCTTTAGTTAACAGCGTTAAGCGCGTTTTCCTCACGAGTGATGATAGTTATGCTGTAAAATATTCTTTCCAGTAAGATCTGTAATTCATGATTTTAGAGAGGTTTCAAAAAAATGTTGAAAGTTAAAGAGGGTTTACCAAGAACTCCAATAGTATAAGGAGGAAAGGGGGATTTTATGATATTTGAAGAGTGAGGAGGTTATTTGGAAAACATCCAAACATAAAGGGTTATTGTGAAATTCATCTGATGTTTAATGTCGTCTATTGTGGGATGCGACAAAAATAAATCCTAGCTGACAATCTCGTCTCTTGTCCCCTCCTTCCCATCACTATAATACTACATCAATTCCTAAATAAATGTTAGACTGCTCATTCCTTAAACCCGGCATCAATGGGCAGCAGAAAGGACGAGATCTTTTTCCCTCTTCACAAGGTCCAAGGGACTCCTTGAAATAGACTAATGCTTTATTTTATTAAGAAAAGTTGATTAAGCTTTTTGCTACATCAGGGAGGGTGAGCTGTACATGGGAAAATATTGTTAAGTACTTAGAAAGCTACAACATTAATGTGTACTACCCGGTAACTATATTTGTTAATGTATTTAAACTTGTTTGATCTTGCTTTTCCATTATGAAGAGTATGTTGTTCTTATTTTATCATTATTTAAACACGTTTGTTCTTTGTTACCAATTTAAAAATAGTAAAATTTAATATTTGTCCATTTATAGTCAAAACTGTGAAGATTAAAATATAGGTGAATTTGAATGAAATAGGGGAAACGGCTTTTCTTTACTATGTAAGTAAAAACACATTTTTATGCTAAATATTAGTGGGCCAATTTCACTTACTGTATTAATAATTCAATTATTCACGGTATGGTTCAAACTCAAAAATGAGAACTTGTTATTAAAAGATACTTTTTTGTAATTTCCATTTTTCTTCTAATTTCTAAGCGTAGCCCCTACTACGCCTCTTACTGCATATTTAATTTCTAATTTTTCTTAGTTTCAAAAAATTTCTAATTTTTCTTCTATTCTTAGTTTCGAAAAAGTTCTTTTTTTTGTGATTTTCAATTTTCTTATATTAATTTAAATTGCTTGTTTAAATCTAAAATAAAGCTGTGACAATTGGTTATTTTTTCCCTGCTATATCATCTCTAATTATACCGATCATGTTAGATGTCTAGTATTGTTTCAAAATGAAGTATTTAAATGTCTATAATGCAAATAATCATAAATAAAGAGAACAATTTTGATTCTAAGTGGAATGAGATTGGAAGAGATATGGGGAGGGTAAATAGCCCTCTAAATTAACAACCTATGTATTATAACCTATAAATTTTATATTAATACTAATTACTTGCATAAAGACGTGAATATAAATCCCTCGGATTAAAAAACTGTAAAGCAAATTACCTTGTTATTATATATGTATGATCTTAGATTACTACAATAGTGATATATTCAAGAAAAAAACCCTGTCATTTCTATGCCTCCTCTCCAGTCCTGCGCTCTTCTCTGTCTCTCTCCAAGTTGGGCTACACCTGCAAGGCTGCAATGCTGATGTATGGAAAGGACGTTTGTCTTTTCCTCCCCCCCCCCTGGATATTTAAGGAAACGACATTTGTCCTATCTCCTCTCTCTCCCTCCCTCTCTCTTCCATTTTTCTCTCGCAATCAAAAAAAAGTGCATGCATGACAAGACTCGTTGATTTATTATCCATGTGCAGTTACAAGTATTTAAATTAGGTACCTTGAATTTCCATGTAGATTCTCGGGTAACAATTAAATTCATTCATATATTATATCTTTCAAATACTACTTAAATTTTAATTAAGATGCAATTACAAATATTATCTAAACTACATAAAGGGATACTATTTTACTCAATAGCAATGTGGAAAATCAGATCTTTGATGAATAATGATATAACATTTAAATCACAAAAATAAGTAGAAGATTATCTACCAACATTGGTACTTCAAAGATAAAAAATATCTTTTAGTCTTTTAGCACATTATAGCCACATGATGAGTTTTCCATCTGCTAATTATTTATATTATAATTTTTCTATGTCTGACGCAGCTCATTTGCACTAAATTGTGAGCCTAGGTTGTTTGTGATTCAGTGTAGCTTATTGGCACCCAATTGCTTTAATCAAATTTGACAGTTTAAGTTCAAGAACATGATAGTTATGAAACTCACCTAGCCACATTTTAAGAAGACACTAAGATTTTTTTTATTTATTTCTAGGCATATAATTATAATTAATGTCATTAAACAAACCAAAAATCCGTAATATATCTATAATTAATCTCTGATCTGTTTATAATGGTGATTAATGCTAAAGTAATAACTTGACAACCTCTTCACACACCATGTTTATTTATTTATCTTTTTTTAAATTATTTTTAAAAATAGAGCGCATTAAAGGGAAAAACAATAAATTTTTACATTTGGAAGAGGTAATTTAGTATTCTTAATATCCATGAGAATCTATAATCCGCTCAATTGTTTTTCTTAATTATTATTATTGAAATTGCAACTCAATTGTGCTTATCACAGTCTGCTTATCATAAATAAAGAGTAGTTTAATTTTTTTTTCCCTAAAAACTAATCAGTTTAATATAAAAAATATTTTAGTCTGCTTAATATTTTAGTTGTTAGTGTAAAAAAAACCCAATAAAAACAATCCGTTGGCTAAAAAAAATATGGTGCCAAATAGGACATAGGGAAAAAAAACACTGCTTGTGAACCGTAGAATTCAAACATGTGGAGTGATAGTAACGTGACACATCGGTCCTAGTTTATGGTCCGTCCTTGGGGTCTCAAAAGCTAAAGTTGTTGTACGCACGTCTCCAGCTAACTGCCCAGGCGCGCTTCTATCCCTCTTTGTCTGCGTCACGCTCTCTCTCCCCTGTCTCTCTCTCTCCCTCTCCTATTATTTTGTTTATTTTATTAAGAAAAGTTGATTAAGCTTTTTACTAATACAGTGGGCCGTACATGGAAAATGTTGTCGTGTACTTAGAAAACTGCAACATTAATGTCTACTGATCCGCTAACTATATTTGTTAATTTATTTAAAATTGTTTGATATTGCGTTTCCATTATGATGAAATTGTTGTTCTTATTTTATCATTATCTAAACATGTTTGTTCTTAGTTAACAATTAAAAGATAGTGAAATTTAGTTTTTGTCTATTTCTAGTCAAAACTGTGAAGATTAAACAAGTAAATTTGAATGAAATAGGGGAAACAACTCTTCTTTACTATGCAAGTAAAAACACAATTTTATTCTAAATATTAGTGGACCAATTTCACTTACTGTATTATTAATTCAATTATTCACCATATGGTTCAAACTCAAAAATAAAAACTTGTGATTAAATGATACTTTTTTGTAATTTCCATTTTACTTCTAGTTTCTAAGCATAGCCCTCGTTGCGCCTCTTACTGAATATTTAATTTCTTATTTTTCTTAGTTTCAAAAAGTTGTAATTTTTCTTCTATTCTTAGTTTCAAAAAAGTTCTAATTTTTTTTTGTGATTTTCAATTTTCTTATATCACTACCACATTTGAGGCCTATAGGGACGGTTGTGAACCGTCACCCTAGGCATGGAAACCGTCACACTAAGCCTATGGGGACGGTTCTACATCCGTCTCATTTGCAGCCGTGCCCGTAGGTCTAATGGGACGGTTTATGCTCCTAGTGCAACGATTTGTAAACCGTCTCCAATAGTACCATAAGGGAACGGTTGTGCTAAGGGGTCGGTTCTTGGTTTAGAGCAAGTGGAACGGTTGTATATCAAGGGGAACGATTTTTAGGTTCTAAGCAACGGGAACGGTTTGATAGCAAGGGGAACGGTTTTTAGGTTCTAAGCAATGGGAACAATTTGATAGCAAGAGGAACGGTTTCCATGGGGACAGTTTTTATACCAAGGGGGACGGTTTCGAGCTTGACCTAAGAGGACAGTTATATTGTCTATGGGAACGGTTTTGTTTGTGATCTATGAGGATGATTTTTATACCAAATGGGATGGTTTTCATTTTATACTGATCAAAACAAATCACCCAGATATCACACATCAGTCCATCACATACAAAGAAACAATAGTCCAAGTTTTACACTCAAACTAACCAAACTTTAGCCTTAATATAATGAACAATTCATTACAACGAAGAACAATATTATAGCAATAGGATTGAGATAATTCTTCACAAGTTTTACACACAAACTTACCAAATTAAGCACATATCACAAATCCTCCATGATTAAAACAAAGAGCTTCTACTTAATCAAAAGGTCAAAATGTCTCTATTGGGACGATTAAGTTCTAAATCTTCACAACAGATAAATCCCCTAAAGAGCGACAAACATGGATCTTCAGATGTTTTCCTGCGTACATCAAGATAAAAAGATGAGTAAGCACAAGTATTAAACCCTTCAAAGTAAATGTATAAAGTTATCAAGTTATTTACAACATAGAAATTATCAAGTCATTTACAGAAAATACTCTTTGTGCAGATAATGACAAGCCTTCTTTTTTCCTCTTTCTATTGAACAAAGGTTGCTCCCATTATCTAATCTCACACCTTACCTTTACCATGGAGCAAGGCTTTAGTTGGCACAAACTTAAGCTTTGAGAAGTGATAATTGGCATAAATGAAAGATCAGAATTTCAGAGGAAACAGGCAGAGATGTTATGGGCGTATCAAGTCAAGGAATAAACTTTATCCTACTCGCAATAGCTGCATATATGTTTCAGAAGTGAAAATTGGCAAAAATGAATATTCACACTTTCAGAGAGAATAGGCTAGGCAGAGATGTTAATTTGATCCGCTTCAAACAAAGGGTGTTTTGCAATTCATGAAGCCACTAGCATACCTTCCCATCAGAGCCCAAACTGAAGATACTAGTCTCATCCAGTCCAAATAGTACAGAGCTTACAATCATGAGCTGACCATCCTGTGATTTGCAGGCCAGCAGACATGTCTATGGGTTATTAAGGAATCATAAGTAATCCTTCTTACTTCCCATGCAGTCATTTCAAAAGATGAAATATCATATGGTATGTACTATATTCGATAAATTGATCTAGGTAGGCTATCTGCTTGTGCAAAAGCAGATAAATACAAGGGTTGAAGTGTTGATCATAGCAATATAGGAGGTCTAGATACAAGGAGAATCTGCGGCTAGACAGCTAATAACAGAGACATGTAGCAAAATTTTGATACAAAACCTGAACTCATTGGTTGGAGCCCCTCCACTGCGAGCAAGCAGCTCTGCCTGCAAGAATTCAAGTTGTTGCCGCATCCTTTGCATCTCCACTGACATTGGGTTCCTGCAAGAATTCAAGTAGTTTCCCGCCTTTCCAGAAGGGAGCAGAGGACCCCTTTTCTTATCCTGGATGTCACTCACTCTATCTAGTAAAAGCAGGCAAAGCAGTATCTATTGAGCTGGGGGAACATCTTGATGGATGAAAGAATGAGGGTTTGAAAAGGTACAATGCAAGGAATAGTTTCTGTTATAAATCAATTAAAAATAAAATATAATAGCGATCACAGAAAAGAAAAGAGGGGAAAAAAGTCCATCTAAGAGTTTCGCTGTCAGAAAGAAGAATTCATACAAGAGTTTCTTTTCACATATAGATATTTATCCTTTGTTAAAATATGAAAAATTACTTTTTTTCTATCAAGTTATTTTCTTGTAGAAGTGGAAACTCAAAATGAAGAGTAATAGAAAAATAATCTTTGAGTAAGAAGGATTATTGAGAATTCCTTTACCAATATCTTTTTTCTTCACTTTCTAAATATAGGAAGATTAATTGGAGAAAAAAACGAAACCACAATGTGTAAGGTATCACAGTTTAGTCAAACAATTGGGTAATATGATAGAAGCCTGAAAAGGAAGAGAAAAAGAGGCATGACACTATCAGCAAATAATTGTAGCTAAAAAGAACACTTGAAATGGGTAAGAGGAAATTTGTTAACTAGGAGGTAAAAGTTTAGTGCGTATGCAAGAAGCTAAGATAGCTTTAACTAAGAATGAATCAAGGGAGAACCTTAGTGCATGTGGAATGTAAAGTGTAAACATGGTGCAAGTTAGGGGTGGTGATGTCATGATTAATGGAATTTTGCAGAAGTTGAGTATTCACTGGTTTTCTCCCAATTTCAGCCCATTTTCAAATTCGAAACATTGTCATTATTTAGAAGACCGAACTATTATGCTATGTTGGCATAACTTTCTGCAACACCTTACTGCATCTAATAGTGTATAATATGGTTGAAGATTACATGTTGGGAAATATGGCAATGTATGTGCTGGAATTATTCCAAGGGGCACCTTGATTGCAGTATCCCAGTCTTATCTTTGCAGCAACCCATTTACTATCTACTCAGAGCAGGAAAGAACACAAGTTAGAAACAGAAAAAGAGTTCAACAGAAGCAGTAGGAGCAGCCACTGGTTTTTCTTTAAGGAAGCTGCAGAGAGCATATATATAAATTGCAAGTGAAAGTTCAAAACCATAAATATCCAACACCCCGATCAAAACCTTCGAATTAGGATCTTGCCCTATTGAATTATTTATCTTGTTCATGAGCCTGCAAGTCTGCAACCAGAAAAAAATAGTCAGACAACAGAACAATACATAGCGATTATGTCAATACAAGATGCATAATGCACAAAATTCTTCAAGAAGCTAAACCAACAACTTTATTGTGCCTTACCAATCAAATAACTGTGAGTAAACAATTTTTGCCAAGGCATCTCTACTGAGAGATGTAGTCTCTGGATCAAGACATTTTGTTATGTTCTCATAGCGAGTGACAATTATACGCTTACATAAAGAATCTTCGAGGGCCTTTTCATCACACCTGCAGAGAGCATGTTTAAGATACCATCAAATCCACAGTGACATCACAAAAATACGGTCTTTTGAAGAAAAAGTAGTCACATAAAAAGTTCAGCTGCTGTTCGCAGAAATTTGTCACGGGGTTGTTCAAGAGTGTTTCTGTAATTCAGTAAGTGATTTAAGACTCTTCCGAAGACAAACTAAGATTAATCTGAACCTCTGAGACATTGTAAGGTAATGGGGGGAAAATTATAATGTCTCAGAGGTCCGACAGTGTTCGCATACTTTGAGAAGTGGAGGAAAAGATACGGTACTCATCTCCATTCCTTACTTTCTTTTATTGTATTATAATTTTTCCCCCATTACCTTACAATGTCTCAGAGGTTCAGATTAATCTTAGTTTGTCTTCGGAAGAGTCTTAAATCACTTACTGAATTACAGAAACACTCTTGAACAACCCCGTGACAAATTTTTATTGCTACCATGCAGTATGTCACCATATGTTTGTTCTGTTAGTGATAAACTCTAGTATGTAAATCAACCGAAGGCTACAGTGAAGAGCATAAACAGAAAAAATAGAAAAAATAAATTATCTTAAACAAAAATTAAAAACATATACCAATTCAATTTTGCGGAATAACCTTGTCCAGTAAGGCTGTAGAATTTTTAACCACCTTCAATGATCAACCAAAACAACAAAGCCCTAATTTGTAAAATCAAATAAAATTTTCATTAAATAGAGAAAAAGGAAAAAAAATTGAAACCCATGACTGAAAAGGAGAGAGATATACCCCAAATCACAAGATGATAGAGAGGGGATAGCGACGAGAGGCGCAGCTAACGGCGGAGGCGCGGCGAACTGACGAAGTGAAGGTGGCCGGCGGCGAACGGAGGCGTCGACGAGAGAAAAAAGAGAGCGGCGAACGGGGGAGTCGTCGAGAGGAGATGAGTGGCGGACGGCGCACGGGGTAGTCGACGCGAGGAGAGGATTTGACGAGAGGAGAGGAAGATGAGAAACCCTAACTATCGGGTGAAGAAAATTTTTAGTTATCGGGTCAGGCGGTTCTGAGAGAAAATAAATTTTGTTAAAAAAGTTTGGGCGCGAGTCCTTTACAAAACCGTCCCTTTAGCCTACTAATTTTTTTTTAAGTCTAATTCAAGGCCAACACTTTATTTTGGACTGTTGCCTTAGACTTTTTCGTGACGATTGTAACCGTCACACAACCGTTCCCTTAGGAGGCAAAGGGGACGGTTTTGAACCGTCCCCAAATAACCGTCCCCATATATCTATTTTGTGGTAGTGTATTAATTTAAATTGCTTGTTTAAATCTAAAATAAGGATGTGACAATTGGTTATTTTTCTCTGTTGTATCATCTCCAATTGTACCGATCATGTTAGATGTCTACTACTGTTTCAAAATGAGGTATTTAAATGCCTATAATGTAAATAATCATAAATAAAGAGAACAATTTTGATTCTAACTTTGCTAAGTGGAATGAGATTGGGAAGAGAGATGGGGAGGGGAAATAACCCTCTAAATTAACAACTTATGTATTATAACCTATAAATTTTATATTAAAACTAATTACTTGTCTAAAGGCATGAGTATAAATCCCTCGGTTAAAAAAACCGTAAAGCAGACTGCCGTGTTATTATGTATGATCTTAGATTACCACAATAGTGATATATTCAAGAAAAGAAAGAAAAAAACCCTGTCATTTCTATGCTTCCTCTCCTGCGCTCTACTCTCTCTCTCTCTCTCTCTCTCTCTCTCTCTCTACAGCTACAAGTTGGGCTACACCTGCAATGTTGATTTACGGAAAGGATGTTTGTCTTTTCCTCCCCCCACCCTCTGGATATTTAAGGAAAGAACATTTGTCCTATCCCCTCTGATCTCTCTCGCTTCCTCTCTCTCTTCCATTTTTCTATGGCAATAAAAAAAATGTGCATGTGTCACAAGACCCATTGATTTATTATCCAAGTGTATGCCTTTAAAATTGGTACATTGCATTTCTTTGTAGATTCTCAGGTAACAATTTAAATACATTCATAAATTACTTCTTTCAAATACTACTTAATTTTTAGGATGCAATTACACGATTATCTAAACTACATAATAAGGGGGACTATTTTACTCAATAGCAATGTGGAAAATCAGATCTTTGATGAATAGTGATATACATTTAAATCACCAAAAATAACTAGAAGATTATCTACCAATCTTGGTTCTTCAAAGATAAACATATATTTTAGTCTTTTAGCATATTAGACACTGGATGAGTTTTCCATCTGCTAATAATTATTTATATTATAATTTTTCTATGTCTGATGCAGCTAATTTGTGTGAGCCTAGGTTATTTGTGATTCACTGTAGCTTATTGGTGTAGGCGTCTAAAAATGCATATATGTATAAACGCACAGCCCGAGATGGAGAGAAGATGACGAACGCCGTTATCCGAATTATCTGACGCCGACCAACACATGAAGCAAATTGGCAAATCAACTGGCCCGTGCGCTCACCGATTACCTCCAAGTGGCTCGCGCACTCGTCAGCCAACTCCAAGTGGCCCGCGTGCTCACCAGCCACCACCAAGTGGCCCGCATGCTCATCAGCCACCAAATCAGCGAACCAAGTGGCCCGCGTGCTCACCGGCCACCTCATCAGCCACCAAGTCAGCGAACCAAGTGGCCCGCGTGCTCACCGGCCACCACCAAGTGGTCCGTACGCTCATCGGCCACCAAATCGGTGAACCAAGTGGCCCGCGTGCTCACATGCCACCACCAAGTGGCCCGTACGCTCATCGCCCACCAAATCGGCGTACTAGTCAATGAAACGATGAAATACACATAAACGACGGAACAAGTCAAACCTTGGAAAACCAAGAAAGTCCCTAGAGGTCGGGTCACGTCAAAACGACCCGGCCAGACCAGTGGCCCGGCCAAGGCCGAGCCACGGGTGACGTCTCGGCCAGTTTCGATCCAAAAGTGTGATTTTTCGGTTTTTACGGATTCTCTCGGGATTTGTTGGTTCCTGAGCTTCCCAACTGCTCTGATACTATGGTTAATCAGTTCCTAACCGAAGATAAGGAGGAATCCCTTGTTCTTATCCAAAGACCCGCATCTGAAGCCCTATAAATACGAGCTCGGGTGCTCATTTCTCAAGGCTGAAAATCAAGAGGGGGAGGTGCTGCCGGTTTCTTGAGTGCATAGCCACGAATTTCAGAGAGGGTTAGCTAGATCTTGGCTATCTCCTGTGCATAAAGAGTGGAGTTCGAGAGATCTGAGACCCGTCCCCTATTCCTCCGGATTTAAGCTTGGTCTTAAATCTCGAGAAGAGCCATGATCTTGCTTGGTCAAGATCACTGCTACTACGATTACTTCCTTCGTGAAGTAAAAGCATTGATTATCCATCTTCTTCTCACCGGATCTGATCCGCGACAGTCCACGGATATTAACGTCCCCGTCACTAGGCCTGTCCAAAAAGCCCGTCGCCCGGTTCGGCCCGGCCCGGCCTCGACCCGGAAATCCAGGCCAGGCCGGGTTCCGGGCCCGGGGGTGCAACGCGTCACTAGGTGCGTTCCGTTGTTCCGAAAAAAACCGGGTCGGACCAGGCGTAGCGGGCGGCCCTGGGCCAACAACGCGTCACCAGAGTGACCGTTATGCCCAAAACGATCGGCCCGGCCACAACGGTCATAAAAGGTCATTTGACCGTTTTGTCCCCAAAAACGGTCAAAAACGGCTATTTTGTGAGGTTATTTTAGTCATTTGCTTATGGGGCTGGTTCTATAAATAGAGAGGGGTTTTTATTTGTTTTTTCACACCAAAACTCATCTACTTCTCTCTTATACTCTTATACTCTTATACTCTCTTATTTATATTTTCTAATCCTTTCATCAAATGGCTTCCAGATCTGATTATGAAGAGCAAAACCTATCTCTCGATCCTGAAATGAGTCCTCCTACTGGGTCTACTCCAACCGAAGTTAATCCTGAATCCGGTGGCGACGAATCTGTACCAAGAGCTCCTAAAAGGCCAAGATCCGATGTGTGGAATTTTTACGAGAAGATCGACGTCACCAAGGATGAACACGGTAGGATCCTCACTCAGAAGGCTATGTGTTCGTTGTGCGGCAAGATTTTTCAAGCTCATCATAAGAGCGGCACCAACCACCTCAAACGCCATTTAGATAAACAAAACAAAGGCCAGACTCCTCAATGTGATATCTGACAATCTATGATTTCTCAATCATCCTCTTATGATAGTCTCGGTAGTTGGAACTATGACGCTGCCAGAGCCAAGAAATACGTAATCAGGTTTATCATTCTTAAAAACCTTCCTTTTAAATTAGTAGAAGATGATGAATTTGAAGATATGTTTAGGGATGGTTTTTATCCTGCATTTAAAAAAAATTCTCGTCAAACCTGTCAATGTGATATTTTAAAATATTATCAGGAGGAACAAGGAAAAATAATTTCTTATTTTAAAAATTTAAACTGTAAATTTTCTTTAACTTCTGATATTTGGACATCTAGAGCACAAACTGGATATTTATGTATCACAGCACACTGGATTAATGAAAATTGGCAAATGTTTAAAAGAGTTGTTTCTTTTATTGCAATAGAAGAGTCACATACTGGTATTAATGTTGCAAATGTAATAATTGAAGAACTTATGAAATTAGAAAATTTAGAAAGAATATTTTCTCTTTCACTAGATAATGCAAGTAATAACAATGTACATGTTGATTTTATCAGATCAACTTTATCATTACCATGTCATGGTGATCTTTTTCATATTAGGTGTATCTGTCATATTTTAAATTTAATTATTCAAAGTGCATTTACTGAAATTAAACCCATGATAGAAAAGGTTAGAACAGTTGCTTACATGCATAATGCTTCTGAACAAAGACTTAAAAGATGGAAACAATTTTGTAAAAGAAAAAAAATGTAAAGCCTAGACTAATTCCAAAAGATGTTGACCATAGGTGGAATTCCACATATGCAATGTTAAGTGTAGCAATAGAATATAAAGACATTATAACTGATTTTATAAACTATTATGCTTCTAGTTCTAGTTCTGGTAGCAC